GCAGCCCTTAATTCGGCCCAACTGCGTGGATTTTCGGCCCGTTTGACGACCAGCCGCGGCCCAACGCCTTATATGCGGCCCATTTGGTGCCCAAACTCCTCCAATGTGGCCCACTGAGCAAAAAAAAGCCCCGTTTCGAGTCCATGTCGGGTCTGGGATGTTACGAAATGGACAGTGAGGTAATTTGAGATAATAATCTCACGAAGGAGGTATGTGTCTATTTAAATTATGGACTTAAGGATTTAAATTGGCAAAAATGAAAAATTATTTGTTTTAAATTGGAAAACTTGGAGACTTGAGGATTTTTGACTTGGTGAAAATGGAGGATTATTTGATTTGCTCGAGCGATTATTAGATTTATTTGAGGAGAATTATCTGATATATTTGAAGAGATTATTTGATTTATTTGAGGAGAATATGAGATTTATTTGTGAATGATTTTTTGACTTAATCGAGGCGATTATTTGATTTGTTCGAGGAGATATTGTTTTGCTCGAGGAATATTACTTAGAGTATTCGTGGGTAATTATGTGATCTATTCGAGGAGATATTTGATTGTTCGTGGAGTGTTATTTGATTTATTGGAGGATATATTTAATTCGCTCGAGGAGATTTTACATGATTAATGTGTGGAAATATTATGTGGTTTATGCACGGATATTTGGTCGAAGAGGTGTTATGTGATTTGTTCGTGGATAAACTTGATTGGATCGAGGATGCATTATTTAAATAATTCATGAGGATTATGCGACTTTTCCATGGAAATTATTTGAATTATTTGAAGGATTATTTGATTTGATTGTGGAAATATTTAATATATTCATGGAGGATTATTTAATCTGCTCGTGGAAATATGGGTTTGCTCGTGAAGATATTATTTGTGGAGCAATATTTGACTTATTCGTGGAATTATTTGGTTTATTTGTGGAGAGTTGTATGATTTATTCGTGGAGATATCATGTGATTTATTCGTGGATATTTTTTGATTTGTTCGAGGAGGTATTAGTTGATATATTTGAGGAGGTATTTATTTGATTTGTTTGAGGAATTATGTGATTTATTCGATAAGGCTATTTGATATATTCGTGAGGACTATTTGACTAATTTGTGGAGCATTGTTTGATTTGACTGAGGGGAATTATTTGACTCGTTCAAGGAAATATTTGATTCGTTTATGGAGGATTATTTGATTTATCATGAAGCTTATTGGAGTTATTTGTAGAGGATTATTTGATTTAAATGGAAAATTTGGAGACCGGACGATTTAAATGGGTGAAATTGACGAGTTATTGGATTTGATTTTGGAAATACTTAATTGGCTCGTGGAGACATTGTTTAATTTATTCGTAAAGATACTATTTATTCATGAGAATTACTTGATTATTTATGGAGATATTGAATTTGCCATGGAAGTATTTGATTTGTTTGGGTAGATATTATTTGATTTGATCGTGAGAATATTTAATTTATTCATGGAGGATTACTTGATTTGCTCGAGCGATTATTGGTTTTATTTGAGGATGATTATTTGATTCGCTCGAGCCATTATGGGATTTATTTGTGGATGATTGCTTGACTTAATTGAGGCGATTACTTGATTAGTTCGAGGAGATATTACATATTTTGCTCGAGGGATTCTTTGAGTTGTTCGTGGATATACTTGATTTGATCGGGGAATTATTCAATTCGATTGTGGATATATTCAATTTGATATGCGGGTCGTGGTTTCAAATGGAGGATATTTTAGGAGAGTGTTTATCGTATTTTTTGGTGCACTTATCGATAGGCTCGAGGAGGCGGATTAAAATTATGCGATTCGATTTCTTGATATATCCGGAGCCTCTTATTTGAATTTTCATGTGAAAATGTGGATTTTATTGAAATGGATTATTCGTAATTTTTAAGCATGTCATTGCTCGAGCATGTCTTAAATCGAGGAGATGGTGATTTTTGTATTTGATCTTTTGTTTTTATTGCGTGGAGCATTGCAAAATGGATAACTTGAATAGAATGTGGATAATGATATCTCTCCGAATTCTTGTCGAGGAAACAACGAAATAACCCGAGTCTTGACGAGCTATGTCGGACGAGCTGTCGAGTGTCGAGTACAAGATGAGCGAGCATAGATCCATAAAAGGTGGGTGATAAGGAAGGACGAGCCTGGATGATGTCGATCACCGGGGGCGATTTCAAAGGCAGAAATCATTCTTTTTTGGAGAGGTAGGATAATGAGAAGTGATATTCGAGATCTTCAGGTATGAAATTAATCTCAACTTTTGTTTGCGGTCAAGTTCGACCGACACAATTTTGTGGTACATTGAACATCTTGGCATTTTTTTTGGAGGAATGTTCATTATTTGAATATCTTGAGCGAAATGTGGATGAGATTGTGGTGTATATGGATGTGTTTGGAATTATCATTCTAGTGACTAGCATAATGCAGAAAATGAGGAGTACGTGGAGCATCGAACAAAACCTGGCACGACTAAGGCTTTCGGGCTGGCCAGTTTCAAGTCATCATGACTAATGAGCTCGATATTGAGAGTAATTCATCTCAACTTTCATTTGGCGCATTCGTTTAATGGTCATTTGCAGGTGCAGAGTATGATTCATTGTAATTGTTTGTTGAATTAATGGTTGTGTGAAATTTTGGTCGACTGTACATTGGAGTGGGTGTTTACGTGATTGCATACCGTGTTAAAGTAGTTTTCATGTAAATTGAGGTGTGGTATAAAACCATGTGGACCAATGTAATAGCCTTGATTTACTAATCTCTTGTCATGGTTGCTATCGGGATTGCAAATGGGATGATGTGGATAAAATACGACTAATGAAATTGTTGAATCCTTGCTGAGGAAAATACACGAATAGGAGGATTGGCTATCTACGTACACTGCATGGTTGCAGTGAAGAGTGGACAGAGGGAAGTGAACGACAACACAGGCCGTCATGCACAAACATGAAAGGGAGGTCGAAAAATATACTTGATTTATTTTATTTTGCTCGATGTAGCTATGCATTTGATGAGGCTAATGAGAATGATCGATTACTACTCTATCTCGTGGTGTTTGGTATGCTTTCTTGTCTACTTCAGCGGCCGGTCGAAGTGTTCGATCAGTTCGAAAGGGAAAAATCCACCATGACTAAGGCCTCCGGGCTGGGTGGTCGCATGTATCGACCACTCCTTCGAGGGTG